TCTCTCTCTGCGTGTTATTATGTACGTCTGTGGGCTGTATTTGCTTGCATATGGTGCTGACTGCAGATTTGTGAGATGAGGATACTGTATATCTGCAACTGACAACGTCGAGAGCTGTTTTGTCTTGAAATGAGTTAGGTAGGTCACACTTTGATGATATCGGGGCAACTTTAGTGCTTAGCACGCATACAACGATCAAAGTTGGGGCACTCCGGCATTTGTGCGATGTTTGAAGGATTTGACTTGTATGATATGACCGTGAGAACTACGAAATCATTTGCACAAAGCCTGCAATGGAAGATTGCTTCATGCAGATCTTTTTTTATCGCGCCTGTCAATATCGTGAACAGAAATATAATATATATTCGTAATAAACTAGGAATTTTTATGGAATAGAGAATTGTCAAACGACAATTTTGCGACAAAACGGCTAGGAATATAAGAACCGGTTTCCCTTTCGACGTGGTCTTAACATGAAAATACCCACATGATCTCATTTACGCCAGTAATTTGCACGCTTCCAACAACATCACTGGGGCCTAATGCCTCCTGACAAGTACGACCGTTATTCGCATCGGCCAGCGTCCGTTGGCTGACCTGCCACACAGAAACCTCATTAATATTCCGTCACCGTACTCGTCGGTAGTTTTTGCGTCGCAGACCTTCCATTAGACGGATCCGCTCATATGGATGGTTCCATGCAAACATCCAATTATAGTTGTAACGTTTAGTCTTGCTTGTTCCTAAATGATCTTAGAGTAGCAGTATTGCAGTACTTCGCCACTTTAATTAATTTGTTACTTTTTTCTCGATAATTTCTAAAGCGTTTAGTGCCGTAAAACGAAAGATTTAAGGTAACAGTTCTATTCTATCTCCGGTTAATGAAATAAAGGATTACATCTATTGTTTACCTTGCGGACAAGCGTTTCCATCAGAAGCTTAAGATGCATGATAGCGGTAAAATAATGATTATGCGATGCCACAAAGGGAGCTAAAGTGTGTGGACTGTTCCGTTTGAGACAGGAAACAGTGGTTTAATTCCAGATTTCCAAATAACTTCGAAAGTTTTTAGAAATTCACTATATTATTGCATTTTCTGCGGAGTCAACACTCTTGACCATTCATTACACAAGAAGTTTGATCGATACCTCAACAAGGAGGCTAAAAATATTATCTATGAAGTAAATTATGGTGGTCATAATGGCTTTTACATTTCTTGAACATGAAGATGCCTGAAAGTGAGAAATAGCAAGTACAAGTAAGGTATTCAGCGCTTTTATAACGTAGAACCTACTTGATCGCTCATGGAGTAAAAAATTGTCTTTACGTTTGTAAAACGATGTTAGCATCACTAGCAGCTATAACATAAAGTGGAAGGACTTATAAGTAATTCTTACATAATTCTGCTAGCAAAAGTCTGGTTCGTGAAGAACGTAAAAAGTGATGTTCCATATCTGAAATAATGAATTCATTGATTAATTCACTGTTTTCCCCGAAAGGAATGATCCATATGTTCTAACTGCTTCTATGCCATCGCAGACTTATCATATTGTCCACTTAAATTATCGAAGAAATTTTTCGACGTTACTCTGTCCGTCGATTCTCACATTGGACTATGAGGTAGGTCAACTCAGTTCGAACGGCACCACTAGTCGCTGATTGCAGGTGTAAGTGAACTAAATCCTTAACGACAATTGCGTGTTAGGCAGGTCGCAAATTCTCATGTTACTTTAAAGATTGTAGCCTGTACCCAAGCATAGACTTCTATCAAAAGATGAAGAGTATCTACTGTTCTTCGAAAGGAGTTATACAGGCCGTCAGGATAAGCAGTTAAGATAAAATACGGTTTAAAGTTTGGAATAAACAATTTAATAAGTAAACTTTCCGGAACCAACAACGGTGTTCGGTCTTCAGCACAAATAATAATATCGTATTCGTAAAGATCATTATCATCATCATCTTCCATCGCCGCTTCTCCGGGTTGCGAGGTCAGACACGTCAGAGAGAGTTTTCAACGTTTCCGATGCTGTCCCAGAGTCTGAGCTCCGGCAAAAGACAAATGAACAGACTCCTTCCATATATTTGCACCAGGTTAATCTTGGCCGTCCCCTGGGTCTTTTGCCCGTCAGATTTGCAACGAACAGCTGCTTAGCCTTCCTTTCTGGAGGCATTCCCACCACCTGCCCAAGCCATCGCAGCTGGGACTTCTAATCTGGAGAAGCAAAGGCTGTATTCCAAGGCTCTTCCGGATGTCACTATTCCGGACCATGCCGAGACGC